CAATAAACGACACTCTGAAAACACCTCAGACGCTGTGGGTTGGCAACTCTCCAGATTCATTCGTGAATTGAATAGAAAAGGGCAGCCAACAGCTGACAACTCTGAGAAAAGACTGGAATGCCTGTTGGACAATCCAGTCACAGACGCTGGGAGATGTGTCCCCTCTGCCTTCCTGGCTAAGAAGGACAATAAGGAAATGGTAGAGGGTGCAGGAGGTACCCGCCACCCAGAAGAGCAGAAAGCTCTAGAGAGAGTCTCTAACCAGGTTTCTGAGTTTCAGAGAGAGGAGAGGGAGAGCAGGAGAGAGCGGTAGGAGGGCCGGTTTGGTGGTCACAAAGGGGAGAAATGGGGAGACAGAGAAGCTACAACTCTCTCGGAGGAGCTGAGCCTAATGGCTGGGCTTTTCATTTTGCTCTTTTTTCCCAGGTTCTGAAAATTCTCTCATCCAGATCTGGAAACTCAGAATCACTTTTGCTCTGTCATACAGATATTTTGAGCAAAAGCTCCTTTGGGAAAGCACTTGCTTTGGGACTACATGATTCTGGTTTCTCAGTTTGCATGATCCAGATTTCCCAGCTCTCCCCCAGTGCCTTTCCCATGGCCTGGCATACAACAGACACTCAGTATTTGCTGAGTGAATAGAATACCACTGACCATTGTTCCTCTTTTCGTGTTCCTTAAACTACAAAATGAATCCCATGTAAATCAAAGCTTTAAATGTTTAAAAAATGGAAATCATAGAAGTACTGCAATAAATCTCTAGAGAACTTTTTTGAATGTGGGGTCTAGAAGTTGTACATATGAAACAAGACACAAAAAGCATAAAATATTAATGAATTCAACTACATTAAAAACATATACTGTATAGAAGAGATACATTCAGAAAGTCCGAAGATAAATGACAAACTTAAAAGTACTATTTCAACATATTACTGAGTAAAGACTAAATTCTTTAACAATAAAATAGTTCCTGTTCATTAATAATGAAAAATAAACTCGATGGAAAAATGGGCAAATATCAGGAACAGACAAGAAATGGAAATGGCTTTTAAACATATGAAATGAGAGCTGATGTCACTCCCATTAAGAGCAAACAAACACTATAAGGAAGACTGTTTCAGGTCCACAAAGAAAACACCTTTTCTGAGTGTGTAGGAAGAAGGATTTGGGGAAACAGCCTCTACCATGCATTGCTGTTGAGATTATACATTGCACAGATGGAGGGAAGGGGTTGATTATTATTAGTATACATGAATCGCTGCCGTAGAAATTCCACTGTAATTAATGTATGCTGCGTTTGCGTATACGTGCAAAGACGCGCACATGGATATTCACAAAGCTTTGTTTATAATAACAAAGGACTGAAAAAAAATGTCCATTAGGTGACTTATTAATTCAATTTTTATATTCCATGTAAAATGTAGCTATTGTAAGGAAAAAAGGCAGTTTTAAGTGTTAAAATATAGAACACTATCTCTGAGATATATTTAAAAATAAAAAAAATAAAAGTGCAGAAGAGTGTGTATGGAATGCTAATGCTGTTCAAAGGAAGCAAGGAAGAGCAAGAGAGAGAAAGGAAAAAAAAAGCATGTCACAAGTATGCACAGAATATTTGAGGAAGGACATACTCCCCCTAGAGGAGCCTCTAAACCAGGAACTGTACATAATCTACTAGTCTCTATTTCCAGGTCTTTCCCCATGCCTTAACCTCTACTACCACCACCACCACTCACTCACCCCCCAAACATTCACAATATTCTGCAACTCTTTTTGCTGAACTGTAATTGTAACTATAAAAACTGATTTTTCAAAATTTCAATGCCTCCTGGAAGTTTGCTCTAACCATTCTCCTCCATCTGCTAGGGAATTTACTTGTTGTGCAACAAACTTCTTGGGAGCCCACTAGATGTCAAGTAATGTGATATGTGAAAGTGTACCACAATGAAAGGCACACATCTTTTACCAGTTCACACTACAATATTGTGCTTCTGTTGACAACACACACTCTTCAGTTTCCTCATTTCTCAATAACAGCTTCTTCCATTTTATGTGCTTTGCAGTTTTGAAAGGCTTTCATCTCTGTTATTAGATGTGTAAAAGTTTAATCTTGCAATCAGGTTAGAAACTCTAGGAAGTCAGGGACAGGGTTTTTAATTTCACGATGATGCTTTACCTTCCCTGATGTTGAAGGGTGTCGGAAACCAGCCAAGTCAAACCAGGTACCTGAATGGGGGAGCGGGGACTGAGAAAAAAGAGAAGACAGGGTGCAGGAGGGAGAACAGATCTCACAACTGTCTCTCCGAGTTTATTTCTTATGCTCCTTTTTATACATAATCTGTTCCTTTGTGTATCCCAAGATAACATAATTAAAATAACATCCTGAAGATCAAGGTACAATCGACACTTCCTTTGACACTCCCTTCGACACTCCCTGTTTCTATTCTTAATCTTCTTCCTGAATTCCTCAGAACCAGCCTTTTCCCTTTTATATGCAAGCAGGCCTCCCGAAATAATCCATGCACTCTTTTGAATTTTGGGAGCTTTAGCTCCCTACAGAAGGGCAATCTTTTCCTGTATTCCTTGGCTTTGCAAGAGTTTGGGGGGTCTCAGCCTGCAGCCCTTTAGTACGTACAGAAGGAGTCTAAACGAATGTGCAGAGTCTGCTTGGAAACCGTGAAGTACCCTAGAAGCTTTGCTTCCAGAGACCTGGTGAGGCAGCTGATGAGAGAGGTGGAAATAGTCCTACAGCTAATTAAAAAAAAAATCAGAAATTCATACACATGCAGAGAACACTTAATCCACATATCCTCTGACTACCTTTGCTTCCCTTGTACCTTTATGTTGCCTTTTTTATCTCTCTTCTACCTACCAATGCTTCTGTGATCATTTATTTTTAAAACTCTGTTGCTTCTCAAAATGAAACAGTGACAAATATTTGAGATATTCTTTGAGGACATTAATGTTTTGAATAAATACTCTCCTAAATAATACTATCAACAAAGGTTCTATACGAATATTAGAGTCTCTGGGACCACCTCATGTCAAAAAAGGTGAGATTAAAAGAGTGAATGTAGAAAAGGATCTCCCAGAGGATGGAGCCAGGGATATGGAGAACAGTGGCGAGGTAGTTCCCGTCGGTGAGCAGAATCAGGACCTAACTAAGAAACTTCCACCATTGCCAAGATAGAAGGTCTCCAAAATGCCTATCCAGGGAATTTCATCATATCTACAGATGCGTGACCTCTGAGATGTCTCCATGTTCCTTTTTTCCAATTGGGAGTGTTTATTATGATCACCATAGCCACCATTGCATGTAGTACACATGAGTTATCTAATCTTATCTAGTCTTAGTTTTTCTCTTTTTCTTTTCTTTTCTCCCCGCTCCCTCCGCCCCCCCTTCCCTTTACCACTGACCACTCCTAGGACTGCAAATTCATTCACTCAGTCTAGGATGGAGCCTGAGAATTTGCATTTCTAGCAGTTTCCTAGGTGATGTTGTTTATGACATGTAAGAATTAATGCATTGTACCACTTTGCAGCTGATGCAGCTCCTCAAGGTGGCTTTCCTCATTCTGGGAACAGCGAACAAGAACTCTCTTAGTCTAGGCTGAGATAGGGCAGCCTTAGGCCTATACTAGGACACAGACACATAAATATGTGTAACCAGAGTAATCAGAACTTTCACTGTTTCATTTTTCTCAAAATACAGCCAGGAGAGAGTTGGTTTTCCTTTTCGGTTTCTATTTTGCAACCACATCCTGTATTCTTACCTCACTCTACTCCAGCTGCCAGATAATCTGAGTGGCCCCTGAGGTGATGGCATCATATACAGGCACTTGCCACACAAATCTCTGAAGAGTGAATCAACATCTCTAGGCATTTCAAAACACAGTGACTATGTGTTTTCTCTGTACTTCTCTCCAATCAGTACTTTTATTAAGACTGAAACATTTCTATCCAATAGTTTTCTTAAATGCAAATTCCAAAAACCTATCATGTTTCCTAGTTTCCTATTTCAGCATTTCTTGCACATTTAGCATACATTTCTATAAATATGTAATAGAACTTGTAAATAGAATTAGCACTTGTAACTCTTGATGGAGACCTAACAGTAAAGATTTCCAACTGGGATAGGCTTAGCCGTGAATCCTAATAAAAGGGTAGAGGATTGTCAAGAGGCATAGCTTCCATGATAAAAAAAAAAAGCTTCTCCAAAGCTGAATAACCTGTCTCAGCAATCTCTGTTTTACTGGAACATATGTTTAACTTATGCTCTGAGTAAAATCTGGTCCTCAAAGATACCTGGCAATAGTACCTTTTTTCCCCTTGGGCCTACGTATATTGTACTCCCTCTGTGATTAAGGGTATGAATAAGGAAAAAGCAAAGAAAATACACCTGTTCTATCCTAACAAACCACTACAACTGTCAATTATGATGAGCCAGTGCTGAATGCCAAGGTGACCCACACGGATTTAAAATGTCGTGGAGCTCAGGGAAACCAAGAATGAGTGGAGATGTTAGGAATTATTTGGTTTAGGTTAGTGATCATGATGGATTATGAAATGTCTGAAGAGCTAAAGCTCTGGAAAAGGCAAACACTGACAGTTTCCCTTGGTAGAGTGTTACCCCCTTTTCACAGGAGAAGAAACTAAAGCACGAAGACATTCAATAATTTCCACAGTGTCACAGCATGTAAATGCATCTTGGTTTCCAATCCAGAGACTGACATCATCAGAATCCATGGTTCTAATCGTGTATTCATTCATCCAACAGCTACTTTTCGAACGCCTGCCATGTGCCAGGTATTATTATAGGAACTAGAGATACAGCAGTGAATGAAACAGAAGAAAAATCCCTGCCCTGTGCAGGTCACATAACTGCTCCTTACAGTGGCTTGTGAGTCATACTGGTGATAAGAGTGGGCAGGGTGAGGATGGGTTACCATTGCAGTAATAAGGCAGGGTGCTTGGTAAATGGATCCTTCGCTAGGATGGGCTCCCTTGATATCAGCTGATGGAGGACATCCATACAATTCAGCAAGAGGAAGTTTTTCTGACTCACTGCACAGAAGCAGAGTAAGGCCTAAAGGTTTGGCTCTTATTCAAGATTCATTTCCTCTAAGAGCCCGACTATTTCATTTTCCAGTTTCATTTTCTTTTTCCTAAAGTCAGTTGCCAAAAAGGAAGACTAATGAACCAGGCAGTGCTTCCATATATAAGTCTCTCTCAGTTATTTGAGGCAGAGGAGGAAGATTTCTGAAGAGCACAATAACCGAGATCTGAGACGTGCTTGGCAACCATGAGGTAAGCAGTCTCTGATCCTGTTGAAAATAACTAATCAATCTTGTGAAATGCAAATCCTGAGCAACCATGCTCCTAAAAGGCAAGTTTCCGACTTGTTTTGTTTGCTTTGGTGTTTGAGTATAACCTTTGCAGGTTGTACTTTTGTCATATCAATGCTGGCTTTTTTATTCCAAAGTTATTTTCTTCCTCATACAGTCGAGCTTCCTAAGGGTGTTTCTCCCTGGGGAAGCTGAGAGCCGAGTTCAGAGAGGAGTGAGGCAGAAAGAAAGAGGGCAGAGAAGAGAGAGTTAATCAGGCAGGAGCTTCATTTAAAGGTGGAGCTGGAAAAATTGCTCCTGGAGACTGTCTCTCTTCTGTTTCTTATTTGAAAAGACTAAGTGGGGTGCTTTTAATATGATTCTTATTTAATAAGAGATCTCTTTTGAGCAGAAATTGTTTAAAGTGTACCGAGTAGCAACCTCACTTCATCTTAAGGTGGACTTGACTTTTCATGTGCTCGTAATTCATGTCAACTTTGTATTAGGGCTGGTAAAATGTATTCATTTATTCAACAAAAATATAGTTGATTGGCTAGAGTCCTTCTATCTGAAATATGAAGCGCTTGGAGAGGAGCGCTTAGAGAAAATAGTCCCCACCTCTCAAATTCTCTCACACCCCAGATGGGTAAGACTGCTCTGGGGAGGAAGTGTTAGCTCATTGGGTAGGAAGAGAACACTCTGTTTTCTTCAGTCTGAGAATGGGGTGACCAGAGGGGATTCCTACGCCTCAGCCCTGGGAGCTCCAGAATCCAGGGACAGCAGCCGCAGCACTCTCTTACTAGAGAAAACATGACCTGCTTTCTCTAAGTTTCTGATCTCTCCTCTTGAAAGATATGTTTTCTGTTATCCTGACTGAAAGAGGAAAAAGATTTGAGGTATTTCCAGATGTCTGTTTCTATAGTAATTCAGAATCTTGAGAATGTTTGTTTCTACTTCTTAGAATTTTAGCGTGGTCTTCTCCGAGTATCTTTCCCATAATACAGGCCCATAAGTCTCTCTTCTAATTTTCGTTGATTAGCTATAGGCACTGTCACCACACATTGCCCCTGTGCTCTAAGATAATGGTTATCCAATTTGATTTGAGCTGCTGTAACATTCCTGGGCTTAACCCCTGACCCCGACCCTGGATTCTGCTTTGGTAGTTCTGGGTGGAGGGCGGATGATGTGCATTTCCAACAGGCTCCTCGGTGGTTCTGGTACTGTTCTCAGACACTGAGGGCAGCACTAGCTCTGAGCCTGGTGAAGTGTCATTGCGGCCTTGATCCAAATCAGAAGCAGGGCAAAAACAATGTTATTGTTATGTAAACAGAAATTGTAGAGGCATCAGGACCATAAGTCTTACAAGTCTGAGTCCAGGAAGCAAGTATTTGGGATCAGATTCTGAGTTACCAATGGAAATAAAAACCTGTAGTTACTCAGTGAAATTAAATGCCTTTTGAATGGTTGATCAAAGGGATTTTACTAAAGTGTATATATTAAATGTCTCCTGCAAATTCACAATTGACTATGTTTTATACATTGAAGATCTTTTCAACTGTGTTCACCCACTGATTCTTTTGTGAAATGAGAAAGGAACTAAAGAGCTCTTGCGCTTAAGGAAATAGTCCTATAATCTCACTGAGAAGGACGATAGATCAGATTGGACATGAATTTTCAAAAAGAGACTGCTGTTATTACAATGCAGATACCAGCCAGGCACTCTCCCTGGCTTTGCTGCTCCCCTCCCCCAAATGTGACATCAAAAGGCTCAGACAACCTGGTTCTTTACTAAGACCTGCCTGGGGCTTTGAAAGGACATGGATCTTTCCCTGAGAGGAAACTCCTATCTATTTTCCTTCGTATTTTTTTGTTTATTCTACTTGGGATAGTTAAGTTTCAAATAACAGAAATGAGCAGGAACTGATTTAAAGTTCCTGTCATGACTCACAGGACGGACACAGAGGACTATAGCAATACCAAGAGGACTAGAACAGGACACTGGGGAGCTTGGGGGACCCAGACTCTGTGTCTTCTCCAAGTGCATCTGGGTCACTCCCTCTGCAGCATATACTACAGAATATAGTCACCATCAGACCCCTAGCATGCACAGCACTCTTCTTGACATATGAAAACTGCCTCTGGCTCTTTTATTCCCTCAGTTTCATTGCCAGCTTCCACTTGAGTTTGGGAACCCAGCCATGGTCCAATTAAAGTGGGGATTGGAAGGTATGAAAAGTGAAAGGTAGGGGACAGGAAGAAAATGGAGAATATAATCTTGCATATTTCAAAAGTGATCCTTGCCATAGTACATGACCTCCCAGATATCTGTCTGTTGGTTGCCAATGTCAGAATCCATAATATTTAGAAGATCAGCTCTTGATAAAAGGCTAATTAATATATACCATAAACATTTTTTTAAGTGAGAAAAGGCAACATTTTAGAGACTCCTATGTAGGCACTGTAGAAAAACAGTTTGGGGCTATTAAAAATTGTTAATCAATTCACCTCCAAAGTTATTCAAGATAGGGTTTTTGTTTATTTGTCTACTTGCTGTTTCTGGTTGGTTTTGTTTGTTATTTGTTTGTTTGTCATTGGTTGGTTTGAGGTGCAACATTAAGGGGAGTGGAAAATCCTTCCAGAAGCGTTGCAAGGACACCCTATGGGAAAAAGAGCATTTCCCATAAGAAAAGATGGTAGCTGTCTTGTGAGCCTCCTCCTGGAGCTGTCCTTCTAAACGTGTTATGAAAGCAAACTACAGGAGAGCACAAATAAAATTTCAAAAGAAAATTAAAGCAACAAATGCAAAATTATTAATAAATCAACACAATGAGACATGTTAAGAACAGAAGTCACCAATCTAAGGGGGAGGAGTGATTATATTTATTCCAAAATAAACGTTTAAGACATTGCCAACATATATAGTAATCAAGGTAAAAAATGAATAACAGAAAAGTAGAGGAAATTAGTAAAAATTTAAAATGGTTGAAAAAAATTTAAATGGTTGAAATGGAAAAGTTCAAAAAAATAGGAATATAGAACGTCTAAATAATGAAAAGGACAAAACAAAATCAATTTGATAAAAAGGATTGGATAAACAAAAAAAAATCAATTAAAGATATATAAAAAGCTCAAATAATTAGAGAGGACATAGAAAGTAATAAAGATTAAAAATTAAGAACAACTAAGGAATTAATAATATAGGCAATAAAATAGTGTTGAATATCAAAGGGATAAAAAAGAGATTAAAATCCGGATGGCATTAAAACATTAAAAGAAGAAAAAATTATAAAGTAAAATTTTCAAAATATAAAAGTAAATATTAGGTAGGAGGAAGAACAGAAACAAAGTAATTAAGTAAACTTACTTCTTTTATTTCAGCATTTTATTTTATTTTATGATTAGTTTCAAGTATACAGTTTATGAAATGATCCCACGATTACTCTCTCTTCCCTCTGGCTCTACACGTCACCATTACATTACTGCTGACTGCATTCCCTATGCCATGCTAGCCTTACTTTAAAAGTATGGAAAACCTCCACTGAAATCCCACAGTTCCCACAGATCTGGCTGCCTCTGCAGAGGCCCTCACAAGAAGAAAGCAGAGGGCTAGCACTGCCTAGGACAAACTGAGAGAGGAGGCATCCGAATAATGCAAAGGAAAAGACTTGCAGAAATGACCTACTTGGTCAGTTGTAGATTAACCATTTAGATCTTTAAATGGCCTTCTGGAAACTCTTGCCACACCTAACGATCTATAAATAGATAGGACTGATGGTCTGGGACTTCCTTCCTCCTTGCAGCCCCAACCTGAAACTCCCCCACCCATCCTGAGTCAGGAAGTGCGCATAGACCCTCAGACAAAGAAATCATGCGCCCCTTGCATGGAACACTATCCAGGTATATAAGCTGTAAGAAAGCTAACGGGAAGGAGCTTGTGCCTTTGTTCGCTCCACCGGCCTAATAAACTCTCCTTCCTCTAACAAAGTTGTCTGAGAGTCCAAATTTCCTCTGTCGAGTGTCGCCTCCTGCAACAAAACTGCCTTAATTTAGGGAAAACTGTCTCAAGTTCAGAGACCTGCCCACTGTCCTCTCCCTAACTCTGCTGCCCACAGTCACCCTGTCCCTAATTCCCTACGCATTTAATTAACATTTTTCTCCAAACTGTAGAAAGAACAAAAAAGGAACAAACGGTATGATCTTTTGTACTGGGTTTCACACCCTTTCAGAGGAGAATTGTATTCTCCATGCTCCTGTTTCTTACTCGGTGAATCTGTGCTGTCTCCAAATGTCCATCTTTCTGCTTTGCCCTACAGTGAGGCCACAAAGAACTCCTTGGAGACCAGCCTACGGCAACTAAAATGCCATTTCACCTGGAACTTGTTAGAGGGAGAAAAGTCCTTGGATGATTTTGAAGACAGAGTGTGTAACCAGACTGAGTTTCAGAACAGTGGATTCAAAGCTACGATGTACAACTTGCAGGCCTACATAAAACACCACAGAGGCCAAAGTGAGGCAGCACTGGAAAGTTTACAGCAAGCTGAAGAGTTAATCCAGAGAGAGCACGCTGACCAAGCAGAAATCCGAAGTCTGGTCACCTGGGGAAACTACGCCTGGGTCTACTATCACATGGGCAGACTCTCAGAAGCTCAGGTTTATGTAGACAAGGTGAAACATGTATGCAAAAAGTTTTCCAGCCCCTACAGAATTGAGAGTCCTGAGATGGATTGTGAGGAAGGGTGGTCACGGTTGAAGAGTGGAGAAAAGCGCACTGAGAGGGCAAAGGTGTGTTTTGAGAAGTGTCTAGAAAAGAACCCGAAAAACCCAGAATTTGCTACTGGACTGGCAATCTCGAGCTACTATCTGGATACATGGCCACCATCTCAGCATCCCATTCGTGCTCTGAGGCAAGCCATTCGCCTGAATCCTGACAACCAGTATGTTAAAGTCCTCCTGGCTCTGCAACTTCAAAAGATGAGGGAGGAGGGTGAAGGAGAGAGGTTAGTTGAAGAAGCTCTGGAGAAAGCCCCGTGTGCAACAGATGTGCTTCGTGGTGCGGCGATGCTGTATCAAAAAAAAAATGACCCAGACAAAGCTATAAAACTGCTTAAAAAGGCTCTAGAATGCATGCCAAACAACGCCTACCTGCATTGCTATATTGGGGGATGCTATAGGGCAAAAGTCTTCCAGTGTCAGAAAATGGGAGAACATGAAATGTATGAGAAAAGAGAAGAGTTACAGAAACTAATAGAACAAGCTGTGTATTATTTAAAGAGAGCTGAGGAGCTCAATAGAAATCTTGCCCATGTCTGCTCCCATCTTGCCTGCCTCTACAGACAGGCAGGTCAGTATGAAGAAGCAGAGTATTACTTCCAAAAAGAATTCAGCAAAGAGCTCACGTCTGTGGACAGACAAGTGCTCTATCTGCGATACGGCAACTTTCAGCTGTATCAAATGAAGTGTGAAGGCAAGGCCATCCACCATTTTATAGAGGGTGTGAAAATAAACAAGGAGTCAAAGGTGAAAGAAAAGATCAAGAACAAACTGCAAAGAATTGCCCAAACCAGGCTTTCTAAAAATAGAGCAAATCCTGAGGCTTTGCATATCTTGGCGTTTCTTCAGGAGCTGAATGAAAAAAGGCAACCAGCAGATGAAAATTCTGAGAAGGGTTTGGACTCTGGACATCTTGTCCCTTCAGCATCTTTACCTGAGGACTGAGAAATCAGGATGTGGTGCCCATATGGCTACTGCTGAAAGGGAACTGAAACCTTTCCACCAATTTGGTATTCAAAATATTTAACAACTGGTATGGCATAGGCTACAGTCAGTACTGGATCAGGATTATGGAAGAACTCCATTGGGCCAAGTGAATTGCTCAGGGAGTTCTAGGAGGGGGACTAGATTGGGAGGTAGGTCCTGTGGCTTGATAAAGGGGCTATTTTCCAAGAGACTTCTTGGGAGCAATTTGCTTTGTGACATTATCTTAGTCATCCTCTATGGGGCGATGCCATGGGTTTGTTTCTGTGTTTACACAAAGCAACCAGACGCCTCACATCTGTAACACCGTGGTTCACTTTTGCTAAGTTTTTCTATCCTTGTAGTCATTTGAGATCCTGCACAGGAAAGTGCTGTGGCCATCCAAAGGCCGGGGGACCAAAGCTTAGATAAGGCTGGTGTCACGCCTCCCCACCCCGCCCCACTCCCCAGTCTGCCTCTTTCCTCCTGCACTCCAGATAATTCTCAATCTAGAATGTCCTACACAACAGGAGTTCGATTGTCCCATTAACTGAAGTGGAAACATAGTTTGAAAAAGAGCCAAGAATACGTCCAATCCAGAAAGGACATATCTCAGAGAAGCAATGGGGTCAGGCAATCACAGTTCAAGAGTTTCAAGAGGGACATGAGGAGAATTTGCCTCCACTCTGCTCTCCCTATAATCGTAATATAACTTGTGAAAAATTTAAAAGATTCTGTACAATATGCTAGAAACCAAAATAATACATTACTTTAAAACTTGTGCAAAAGATAAATGTCTCACCAGTAGGGATAGGGACGGACTAGGCAAAAAAGAGAAAGAGAGGAATGCTGGTTTGCCAATTGTGGATTGTGATCATATGGAGACATTTTTATCTTCTTAGCCACTATTAGGAAAATTTCTTTGTAGGATGAAGATTTGCTTTGTTCAAAAAAAAAAAAAAGTTTTGATGAGCCCAGGTTCAAAATCATAGAAAAGCAGCAGAACAGGGAATCATTTGGTGGCTAAGAACCTAGTGAAAGGTCTTGGGAAATGTTATCAGTAATGGAGGGTTTTCCCCTCATTAGAAATGTTGTAGATTAGGTTATACAAAACTTCTTTTAACCCTGAAAAATGTTATGGAACCCCCAAATTAATGATATGTTTTGGGCAATTGGGATTTTCTAGGTAAATACTGAATAGACAGTGAAGGTTCATGTGACCCAAAACAGAGTCACTGACCCAGCACCAAGGCCATCAGTAGCCTCAGCTGCAAAATGTTTGCCTGTTGGAATTACTTTAAATTTAAATGATGTTACCCAGGGCTGGTGGGGGTGGGTACAAACTTACAACTAATAGATAAAAGAGTCGTGGAGATTTAATGCACAGTACAGTGAATATAGACAACAATATTGTATTATAATCATCAATCTCGCTAACACACTAGATTTTAATTATTTCCACCACAAACAAGAAATAATTATCTGGATTGAGAGAGATGCTGTCAAACAATGGCAATCATATTACAATATGTAACTGTCAAATCAATGTGTTGTATATCTTAAATTGACACAATGTTATATATAAAATGTTTAAATTAAGTGTACATTAACATTTTTATTAAGCAATTAAAAATTATATAAAATTAAAGGCTTTTTAAATTAAAAATTCCAACTACTATAACAATGGTTTTTGTGGGTTTTTTTTTTAATCAAAAATAGTGTTGTGAGCGCTTGAGATCATCAGTGTGCATAGTATGGATTCCTGAAAAAAAGTCACAGATTTAATTAATAAATAACAGATGTGATGTAACATAAAAGAATATTCTGGTTCTTCTGAAATTTTGCTATACCTTAAGTTTTCCAGACTCAGCTATGGATAGATAAAATGTTATGTGGCATTCACAAGGCTCATGTGCTCAGTGCATCAAATATTTCATATTCAATAGATTAGTTTGGAATGAGAAAGGTTTTATTTATTGAAATGGCGCCATGACAAGAAGAGAGCAGATTTTTAGACTTCTCAACTCCGTGTTAAGAGAGCCCAGAATTCAGGTTTCTTTGGTATCAAGGAAAGGGAATAGGAGGGGCACAAGGTGGGATCCAAGGCAAAGCAGGAAAATCTCCAGATATCTTTTTTCTCAGTTGGCTCTCGACCTCTGCTGATCAGAGTCTGAGTCCGAGATTCCTGCAACTCGTTTGATAAACAGTCATGGTTTTACATATCTTTTCTCATCTATTCAGGAGGCTGTTTTTTCAGAATTCCTCTAAATCAGTTAGCATATCTATAATAGAAACTATTCACCTGAAGGCCCTGGGAGAAATGCAGGCTACAGTTTGTGGGAAGAGTCAGAGGGAGAGAAACAGAAGCATTCCACCCCGTTACAATTATCCTGGGTATAAACTGTTTCCAATAACCCAGACTGGTCAAACATCGTAGCCACTGAACAGAACAAACCTTTTTTTTCTACAGCCTTCTTAAGATGATGCAGGATAGGGCAAATTTCCCCGATTGGGGAAGACCTAGCCCTGCACTGAGAGAAGAGTGTCCTTTGGCAGAGAGTATAGAAAAAAAGTAACACGCACGCCAAAGTTAGAGTCAAAAAGAAAGTTTATTAGAAAAGGTGTAACACTCCACAGAAAGAGCGTGGTCTCCTCTCAGAGTCAGAGAGTAAGAGGAACCCCAAGTGTTATGGAATTCAGTTTATATATCATTCTTTAGTTCCCGTGAGTTATAATTTAAAGACTTTGTTTACCCATTCCCTTTGATATGGGCATACAGTGAGAAAGGGGGAAAGGGAAGAGTATGTAGCATGAAAAGGTAAGAATATGTAGCAGGACAGGACTGCTGACCGTTCCCAGCCTTTAATCCACAGATTCCCCAGAGTTTTAGCCATAGGGAATAAATGATTTTATTTGTGTAGGGCAGCCACTTGAAGACTTTGTTTTTCCTATTTTCCCTTCAAAGTGTGGGGAATGGGTTGTTAGCAATCCCAGTAGAAATCTTCCTGTGTTCCGAAGGTGTCCTCGTGGCGAGCTGCAGAGCTGAACAACATATTGCAGTCTCTAAACATAGCTTGATTAACACTTGCCTCCTCCCTACATTAAAGAAGGACCAAGATTTCAGCTTATACCCTACCCCCACACTGACGGGGAGTGGGCTGCTGCCTTTCTTTCTGTTAAATCTTGTTAACATCTTTTGCTTCCATTCACATTCTGTCCTCTTCTGACCTCCAGTATGAGAAATAAGGAAATGCCCGATTCTGGTTTGTGCCCCATCCTGGAGGCAGTCTAAAGGCATGTTGGAGATATCCATATCAAGTACAGAATAAAAAGAGATGGGAAGCCCTAAAGTTTCTCATTTTTCAAGAGGCCTCTGGTGGAAAACATGATTCACACCAACTACAAAGGTAAACTCATTCTATTGGACTGAATTGGAAAAGTGTACATGTCAGATGAAAATTTAGTTCGCTTTGCCTGAGTAATATTATTAGATCTGGTGTCTAGGGAAGAAAGCTAGGCGTGTTCTCAATGGAAGGTAAGATGGACATGGACGCTGACCTTGAGCGAGGACCATCGACACTTGTAGTGTGCTAAAGAAAGTACACCAGGTGTATGTGAGGCAAGATAGATAGCCCAGGAACAATCCCTCCCCCTCCAGGATATGTTTACAGAAATTTTTTTTTCTTCAGACCTGCTTCTGTTTTAGCCCTGACAAAGGGAGATAAGCCAAAACTGGTCTTTTCCAGCTTAGAAGCCATCTTTGGCTAAGGCATGGACTTTGGCTAATTATAATAACATTATAATTATTTGAGGACTTAAAGCTAACAAAGATGATTTTTTTTTTTGGTAAAGACAGGTATACTTATTTCATATGACAGCACATTTCACAGGATATGTACAGAATGTTTGTATTCCACTAACTTTAATACTGTACTTCTATAAAGTATGTAGTTATAAATATTGTATGCCATACAAGCAATAAAATTCTTACATATAAACAGCAATCTACTATAGAGAACAAAGATGATTGAAAGACAAAACAAAATTATGATACAGCTCACGTTTCCTAAAATGTTGCTATCCAGGGAACAAATGGGACCACATTAATTGGAATGACTTGTAATTCCCTGATTCTTAACCACATCTCCCAGTGCAGGACATTTGACTCCTCTTAACATACTCACCCAGGTAAATAACATGCCCCCAACAGGTGTTTCCTAGGTGTTGATGAACTAATCTGTTAAAATTATCTAATCATATCAGCTATTTATATCGTTCCAGCACCCTCTTCTAAACCGTAGGACAACCGAGTTGAGGGCTCATGCTGCCTGCATCGCTCAGCTAATAGACCAACAGAAGAGTTGGGATATTTAGAATAAACATTTATTGTCAGAACACCGGTGATCTGAGAAGGCAGCAGGTTAACACCTTCAAAACTGTATTGCCCTCTCAGTCTGGCTTAGCATATTTAAGCAACAATCTGGGCATTATTCCAGGAGCTACTTGATGGTTG